CTTTATGAGCTACTTTCATGTGTGGTTCTCGTGGTTTGTCCATAAACTAGCTCAATATACGTACATCATAAGTCAAATATGGCCTTGTTATGGTTAAGTAAATTAACTTCCCAACCAATCTTCTGTACAATGAAGCGTTATCCAAGAGGTTTCCATCTGATTGTGTGAGAGACATATTCTATTCTATAGGGAATCGAGGAGGCTTAGCACCCAAGAATCCAGTATCATCTAAGATTTCCAAGGCATATTTGCGCTGTGATAAAGTAATTCCATGTCTTGATCTTGCAAGTTCTATGCCAAGGAAATATTTAAGTTGCCCCAAGTCTTTGAGTTTGAATTGCTTGGACCGGAAGAGCTTGGTATTCTCTATATCCTGTAGATTGTTTCCAGCCAAAATCACATCATCAACATAGACAAGTAATGCTAGGAAGTTACCTTGACGACATCGGACAAATAAAGAGTAATCAGACCGAGATTGGTGGAAGTTAGCGCACTTGAGTGCAGTGGATAATTTGATAAACCGTTGTCTAGAGGCATGTTTTAAACCATACAATGATTTGTGAAGTTTGCAAACACGAGTCTCCCCTTTTCGTCTAAAACCAGGAGGCAAGGACATGTATACCTCTTCATCAAGATCATCGTGTAAGAAGGCATTGTTGACATCTAATTGATGTAAGTGCCACCACGCAAAGCGGCCACAGTGAGTAAAATATGAACAGTTACTAGTTTGGCCACAGGAGCGAAGGTCTCCCTATAATCAGTTCCTTCAACTTGACTGAAGCCCTTTGCCACCAATCGGGCTTTATGTCGTTCGATTGTCCCATCAGCCGGCAATTTGATTTTATACACCCAGTTGCATCCGATGGGACACTTATGAGAGGGCAAAGGAACTAAACTCCAAGTACCATTTGCTCGCAAGGCTGCTATTTCTTGTTGCATGGCTTTATGCCACTGTGGAGATTGGACAGCTTTTGAAAAACTGGTAGGTTCTTTAAGTAAAGTGAGTTGTGAGATGAGGGATGATTTGTACCTGAAGTACGGACCTCATTCGTGGATGGCGATGGGACGGTCCTGGAGGGGAGAGCCATCTCGATGTGGAAGTCCTGTAAATAAGTAGGTGGTTTGGTTTGGCGATGTGGACGACGAGGGAAAACATGTTGTGGAGGTGACATTGTCTCTATTGAAGGGTGAACAGGTGGGGAAGAAGGAATTAAAGCTGGCGTGTTCTATGAGGAAGTAGAATCTGGAATAGATTCTGTGAGGTTGTCGGGCGGAATGTTGGGTGAGATGGGACTATTTGGAGAGGAAGGATTATGTTAAGATGGGGACGGTTCCGTGGGAGGAGAGGAAGACACATGATATGACATTGTTGGTATTTCTAATGGTAATGTGGATTCATTGGTGAGAGGAGGACTAGAAGGTGCAGTTGGTTGGGGAGCATTCTGGAAAGGGAATTTGGCTTCAAAGAATGTGACATCCCTTGAGACCACGACCTTGTTCTGAGTTAGATCAAAGACACGATAGGCCTTTTGGCTATAAGGATAGCCAAGAAAAACACATCGAGAGGCTCGAGCATCAAACTTTGATGGGTGTTGTGCATGGGTGAAAATAAAACATAAGCAACCAAATACCCGTAAGTGTGAGTAATTTGGAACTTTGTAGAATAATTTCTCATACGGTGTTTTTCCTTGAAGGAGTGGAGTGAGTGTTGGATTAATTAAGTATGAGTGAGAATAGCATCCCCCCAAAAATGATGAGGAAGGCCGGCTTGAATGAGAATATCGCGTGTCATATTTAATAAATGTCTATGTTTTCGCTCGGCGACTACATTTTGTTGTAGTGTGTTAATGCAACTAGATTGGTGCATTATACCCTTATTTGCTAAAAGTTTTCGAGTTTGAATTCGGCGCCATTGTCACTACAAATAATTTTAACTTTGGAACTGAATTGATTTTCAACAATGTTGATGAATTTCATTAGGAGGCTTTTAGTGTCTGACTTGTGTTTCATGAGGTAAGTCCATGTGCATCGAGTGTGATCATCAACAATGTGAGAAAATACTTAGCGCCAGAAAGTGAAGGAATTATATAACCACCCCAAATGTCAATATGAATTAGATCAAAACACTGTAGAATTAATAGAACTAGAAGAAAATGGAAGCCTTGTCTGCTTTGCTAACAGACAAATTAAGCATGGATCAGTAGCACAAGATGTAATCGTAAAATTGAGAAAACAAAATAACAAAGATACTTTATTCGAGGGGTGTCCAAGACGTTGGTGCCAAAGGGTCGTATTAGATGTCTGAACGTGATGACATGATTTTTTCTTGGTTCGGTCTAGATAATATAGGCCCTCCCGTTCAATTCCCGTCCTAATAGTCTTCCCCAAGCATAGGTCCTGAATGAAACCAACTTGGATTAGAAAGATGGCTATACAATGTGAATGAGAAATCAACTTGCTAATGGAAATCAAATTTAATCGAAAATATAGTACACATAACACATTTTTAGGAGATAAAACGACTTTCCTAATGTGAGTTACTGGAGCCATGGAACCATTTGGTAATTCCACAATGTGGTTATGAACAGGTTTTGAATGAGTGAGTAAGGATTACAAACCATATGATCGGTGCATCCACTGTCCAAAATCCACGTGTCTTTTGTGCCATTGGAGATTAGTGAAAAGGCCTTACCTGATAGTTCATCATGAGTGGAGCAATTACCCACTTGATTTGCAGAGTGAGATTTATTTTTCAACATGTTGAGAATTTGCGGCACTCATCTGCTAAAAAGGGAAAGTTCACCTCCCTTCCATTGGTTAAGTGAGATGTGGCTTGATTTCCTTTCGAAACTGATGTGTTAGATTCAAGTTTTGCTACCTTTTTCTTTCGGCAATACTTGACGGTATGCCCCTTCCAACCACAAAAACTACACTTAAGGTGGGCGCGACAATTCTTGGTGGTGTGATTGGTTCTGTTACACTTAGAGCATTTCACCTTAATTTGAGGTTCACGAAGGGAATTTTTGACTGTAAAAACAGCCCCTTCCAGTTGATTATGGCCTTTCCCTGTTGTCACCTCCGAGTGTTTCTCATGATGGAGAACTAATGAATATGCTTTGTTCACCGTAGGCAATGGATTTTGTAGCAAAACATTGCTTCGAACACCTCCATAGGATTCGTTGAGTCCCATAAGAAATTTCATGGTTTTCTGTGTTTCCATATATGCAGCCACCTTCTTCACTGGCTCACAGGTGCATGGTGGTAATGCGGCTAACTTATCACGTTCATCCCATAAGCCTTTCAATTTCGTGAAGTAAGACCCTACAGTTATGTTTTCTTGGATGCAAACACGGATTTCATTCTCCACATTAAACAGTTGGATAGCGTTTACATGTGAGAATCGCTCATGTAAGTCGAGCCACGTCCTTCTAGCATCCTTGCAATTGATAGCACTGCTGGCAATCTCCTTGGACATAGATCCCAACAGCCAAGTTTTAACCAAGTTGTTGCAGCCGATTACACTGTTGCAGTTCATCCGCATCAGGTTCTTCGATCGAGCCATCTACGAACCCCACCTTGTTTTTGACCGTTAAGGCCATAGTCATGGATTCCATGTGCTGTAATTGTCCTCGGCCAATGGTTGTGGCACAAGGATGGCGTCGGGCTAATCGGAGTGGTGAAGGTGAATTTGGTGGCTGGGATTGTCCCACCTTTTGTTCAAGGCCATGCTTTCTGCCATGGAAGTCGGCTGGAGTTTTAATCACAATTCTGGTGCCTAGATTTTGAATGCTCCGATAGTTTTCTGTATTTGTGAAGTTTTTGTATATATTGATTTCATTGAAAAGTAAGACACCTATATATACAGGGGTTAACGAAATCAAAAGCCTTATTTTATTCCTTAACCTATTCCTATAATCTGTGCTCATATATGGAAAGAAAATATACTGCAATCAATTTACAATATGAGTGAAATCAGTAGAATCAAGCTTTAATAACCTCACAAGTTTTTGAAATACTCGAGGGGGTAGGAGGAGGAAGAAAAAGCATAAAAAAGCTTGACTAACTAATAATGACTGCCATTACGATATATGAAATAAATAATGTTCTTGTACAAAGAGAACGCCTTTATTTAATATTTATAGGTATATTGCAAAGTGAAATATTCTATTAATTGTATAATTTTAGAAATAATCTTAAAACAATCAGGAAAATAACATAATATAATTGAAAATATGAAACATTCCTATATATTATCGTCATTTATTTATGGTCTTCTTTTACAAATGGAAGACTTTCGTTAGACAATTTTTTTAAAGACAATATGGTAACTGATAAGATTCTATTTAGTTTCGGTCCGCAATCATCATTTGTAACTTGGAAGAAACAACCAAAAATGGATTAAAAAGGAAAGAATATCCTCGAAATATTTAAATCGGACGATAGACAGTTCAATACACTATTTTTCTGTAATTATATTACAATAACATTTTTGTAAATTAAAATTAAATAGAAATTAACAAATTGATCCCAAAATCATTATAACGTAAGGGTGATCATAATGAAAAAAAATAAAAAGTTGATGACATGCGTCTTCTACACAAGTAAGGCATGGGCACATATCAAGCCCATTAGATCGGGACAAGCCCGATTTTTCATAATTATGTTAGGCCCATTTGGCCCACACACCAATCTGTGATGGGCCGGGAATATTTATATTTTTTGTTGAATATGTATATTCATAACGTGCAAAAAGTATTCATTCGATTCTTCGTGATTGTTGATGTTAACGATAAAAACAACATAGCTAAGCCAATTGAACTATAAGCAAAACATAAATCTCAACTAATAAATTTTATGTTTTTAATTCAAAAACGAATTGAAGTTAGAATATCGTTTAGAATATCGTATACAAGGTTAAGAGGAGACTTACGATTGGACTTCCAATCAACGAAAGAAAATCAAAACAAAAATTGATCTAGTATGACGTTTTGATCATGTGATCAAGATCCATACAAGGCTTTAATTCCATCAAGATCATCTTGACGCAAAGTTGTTTTGACCGTATTATACGCCATATAAGGGAACATAATTGCATCCTCAACACTTTTATGCGCAAGTCCAAGAACATGCCCAATTTCATGCACTGCAACACTAACCATATCGATCATATTCGGCCTAGCACCATCTGTCCAATCCTCATCCGCATCGAAATGTATTCGCCCATCCCCCGGCCCGAAAGCATGTGCAAAAACTCCACCACGTCCATCGAATGGAAATCCATCGCCATGATCACCCGAAAAATAACCCATGGTTATATCTGGGCCTTGCGTTACAATATTGTCTGCAAGTCTAAACCTTTTAGGTACCTATAGAGAAGTAGGTTTTCAACCCATTTGTGGTCTCCTGGCGAGATTTTGTATATTGAAGTATCGAAGAAGGGGTTGGTGCCATGGTACATTGCGTTAGAGCCATTGATGATGTCGGGCATCCCACATCAAGGTGTCATCATTTTTGACGATGTACCAGAATCCATATATCCTGCAAGATTGAGTTGGTAAGCCATGATTGTAGACTCTAATTCATCATCGAAATCAACGTTATGATCAAAAGTATCTAGATAACCGTAGTGGTTGAGATACTACTTGACTTGATAAAGTCCTTCCACGTTGTCACCCTTACGATGACCTTGCAAATTTTTGAGAGAATCAAACAACGATAATTCTACTATGCTTTTCGTGTGGTCCTTCTGCATGAGAGTGAGACACAATGTATGAGGGGATAAGAAAATGAGAAAAAAGTATAGGAAAACTCCTCTAACTATGGCTGCCATGAATATTGTAACGTGGAAAGAGTTCTGAAATACAAAGAGAGACACTTTTTATATATATACAGGGTTAGAAATTATTGTAAAAGGAATTTTTAAAAAAAAAAATCAAGAAAAATAACACAATATAATCGAGAACGTGAAATATTTCTATATTACAATTTGGAAGACTTTGGTGCAGTAACTTAGAAGATTCTGTTTAATATTTGTAATTTAATTTATATGTTTGGGAGAGCAAAAAATGGGAATTAACAGGAAATGAGGTTGAAAGGCCGGCTACCAAGATGTTGATCAAAATGGAAAAATGTTTACGAAGGAAAATAAGTGAAACCCTAAATTTTGAAGGATCTTCTTCGGGTTAATTTCACAAACGGTCACTGAAGTTACGTCAAAATCACTAAACGGTCACCGAAGTTTAAAACTTGCACTAACAGTCATTGAAGTATCATCCGGTTTTAGTAATGGTTATCGAATGACTTTTTTTCATGTTAATAGGAACGTAATGGACCAAAATAGTTGAAACTTGAACCCTAAGGACCTAAATTGCAAATTTGACAATAAAACCCCCGAAAAGCATTTCTTCTTGACGTGAAACACTATAGGAGAATGGAAGCCAATTTTGGGAGGGAAATTAGGGTGACAATCATGCTCATATCGAATATTTTTTTGTTAGTGAGTGGTCCCCAATCTTAAATTTTCGCACAAAAAAAAAATAAAAAAATTGGAGAAGTATGTTGTGTCCTAGGGTTTGAAAAGAGGATTTGATTATTTGGGTTCTTGATTGGAAGCTCAAGCTAAGGATTTGGAAGAATTAATTAGATGATATTATCATGATTTTCACCCTAATTTCCCTCCCAAAATTGGCTTCCATTCTCCTGTGGCGTTTCACACAAAAAAGAAATGGTTTTTGGGGGTTTTATTGTCAAATTTGAGATTTAGGTCTCAAGGTTCAAGTTTCAACTATTTTGGTCCATTAAGTTCCAATTAAAATGAAAAAAGTCCTTCAGTGACCATTACTCAAATCGGATGATACTTCGGTAACCGTTAGTGCAAGTTTTAAATTTCAGTGACCATTTTATGATTTTGATGCAATTTCAGTGACCGTTTGTGAAATTAACCCGATCTTCTTCTAGTGAAATAAACCCTAACCCTAAGACAAATTGAAAAGCACACCTCATGCCTAAAATTTATTTATCCTTCTAAATATTCTGTGTTCTTTGATGAAAATGCACTTGAATGTTAATAAAAAAAATATAATTTTAATCAAGAAATGTCTTACTCGCTTTCGCTTCTGTTTAAAATTCACATAAATATTTCGGGTAGGTAAATAACTTTGCCATTAACTTATGGCCGAGTTTACTATTAACATATATTAATAATTTAATATAAATGTAAGGAGAATAGTATGACCTTCTGAAATTCTAATCTTTCCCAAATTATTGGGAATAATATTTCTGACAATTAAGTTATTAATTTGTACACGATTAAAAACTTAACGTGCTAGAAAACTGTCAAATTCACTTGTCTTCATTAATATGCTGGAATATTCTTTAATGGTCACCAGTTTGAATCCCCTCAAGACCACTGAGATGAGTATCCGATCGTAAACTTCAGGGTCTCGTGGAATTAGTCGAGGTGTGCTCAAACTGGCCCGGACATCCACAATTATAAAAAAATAAAAATAAAAAAAATAAAAAAAAACTTAATAGAATATAGGATAGAAGAAATCAAAACTCAAATATATAAATTTGTTATAACGCAGTGTTTGATGGACAAAGTTTTGCCACCTTGAACCCACGAGCCAGATTTTCCATGTAATGGATGAAAATGTTTTCCCATCTTTTTGGTGGGAAAACTGAATTCCAGGTTTCTGAATTTTTTTTTT